TTTACTTTCTTAATGAACAGTGTAGAATCAATTTTTCCTCTTGAAAAATCATTTGCAGTTAGGAAACTACTTAATCTTTCATACCAAGATCTAGGAGCTTGTTTTAACCCATATAATGCTTTCTTTAATTTGAAAATATGATTAGGATTATTAAAATCTTCAAATCCAGGGGTTGCTCTACATACACTTCTTCTTTAATAAAACCATTTAAAAATGCACTTTTAACATCCATTTGATATAATTTAAATTTCATCATAGATGCATAAGCAAGAAGTAGGCGTATAGCCTCTAACCTGGCAACAGGAGCATAAGTTTCATCATAATCTATACCTTCCTCCTGACAATACCCTTTTGCAACAAGTCTGGCTTTATTCTTTGTTATGTTTCCATCTTCATCAAGCTTATTTCTAAATACCCATTTAGTTCCAATAACTTGATGTGACTCTTCTCTTGGGATTAATTCCCAGACTTGATTCCTTTCAAATTGGTTAAGTTCTTCTTGCATGGCTATGCACCATTGATCATCTTTAAGTGCTTCCTCAATGTTTTTAGGTTCAATCTGTGACACAAAAGCAACAGACATACAGAAATTTGTCATATTTCTAGTTCTTACCCCTTTTGAGATATCACCTATGATATTGTCCATTGAGAGTCCTCTAGGTGATTGCCATTCCTTTGCTAATTGAGGAGTTTGAGAAGGCTCATTATCTTCTAAATACAGTTCATCAAGAGCCTCCCTTATATATTCATCATCACCTGCAAGTCTTTTATTTGACTCAAGAGGATTTCCCCCAAGGTCTACAATCTCATCAAAGGTAACATGAATAGATTCTTCTATATTTAAAGTTCTCCTATTAAACACTCTATATGCCTTGCTAGTTAGAGAATAACCTAGAAAAATGCCCTCATCAGCTTTTGAATCAAATTTTCCTAGATTTTCCTTTCCATTATTTAGCACAAAACATTTACATCCAAAAATCTTTAAATGTGCAACATTAGGTTTTCTACCATTAAACAATTCATATGGAGTAGATTTAATAATTGACCTAATGAGCATTCTATTTAAAACATAACATGTCGTACTAACCGCATCAGCCCAAAAATATTTAGGAACATTAGATTCATTTAACATAGTTCTTGCAAGTTCCTCTAATGACCTATTTTTCCTCTCAACTACACCATTTTGTTGGGGAGTCCTAGGAGCAGAAAAGTTATGTAATATACCATTTTCCTCAGAATAATTCTCAAACTTTTCATTTTGAAACTCACCACTGTCGCCGCCGTCCCGAAAGGGGGATAATGGCGGTCGGAGCGACGCGATGGTTTTTCGACTCTTTTATTTCTTTCGTAATCGCGTTTTTTATTGGTTACAACGCTTTTAGTCGTCCGATAATCGGGCTAACTTAAAGCGAGGTTTTCGAAAATGTGTCTTTGGGTTGTCCGATAACTGGGCTAACCCTAAAGACTTTTTTATGGGTTCTATGGAGTCGCCACCGATGTTTTTACCGGAAACATCGGAAAAGGGGTAAAAAAGGCGTTGGTTTTCGAAAACCAACTTTGGTCCATTAAAACCAGAGTTGGGTAAGGGAGTTAGTTACGTGTAAAGGGGGTATTAGCCCCTTTACGACACCCCTTTCGGGTTCCCTATGACAGGCCAGGTTATTTTATTGGTAAATGAACTAGAAAATAATGCTTTTGCCCTTTTTATTTTGCGATATTTAAAAATATGACTACATGGCCCTAATTTCTATTGCGGCATTTGTAATTAAAGCGGTAAAAGTAAGAAGAGAGAATTTTGCACCTTCGAAGCAAGCTTTTTGTATTAACTCTCAATAAAGTGGGTGCGTTTTGGCAGCCCTTCACTCTACAAAATCTCAGAAACTCCGGAAATGCCTCGGAGGGATTCTAAAGAAGATTTAGAACGCTCAGAATTCTACTAAAGACGCTCAGAAACTCCGGAAATGCCTCGGAGGGATTCTAGAGGGAGAAAATCTAGAGAGAAGGGAGAGCTAATGCTTGAGGTGTGTGGAAATGAGGGGGAGAGAGCCCCTATTTATAGGTTTTCGGGCCTGGCAGGGTCCAGAACGCCGTTCTCGTCTGACAGGGCCAGAACGCCGTCTGGACAGTCGGGAACGCCGTCTGGGCTTGCTGAAAGGGGCAGAACGCCGTCTGGTCAGTCGGGAACGCCGTCTGCTCCTTCGCAGATGGCCAGAACGCCGTCTCGCTTGGCGAGACGGCGTTCTCGCCTTTTCCGCGAGGTCAGACGGCGTTCTGGGCGTCCCAGACGGCGTTCTCGACCCTTAAAGGCGAGAAAACTTATTTCTATGCAGAAAACACCTCCTATCCTAGTATGGGAGCCTAATAGTCTCTCCTAATGGCTTGTTAGGCTTCTTCCATCTTCAAATAGTGGTCTTCTGGTCCTTTATTTGGAGGCCGGGCAAGATTTGGGGTCTACAGCTGCCCCCCCTTTACCTGACTAATCGGCTGTTGGCCTGTTGTGCCAGACAGATCGATAGGAAGGTAAAGGAGTTGACCCTCTTGCCCGGTTGGTCCTTCAGATCGTTCGCCCTTTGCAGCGGATGATCCTCTGGGGAAAAGATGTTGTGCCGTGCGCCTTCAGGATACTACTTCTGACGTAGCCGATCCCTTTGGTTAACACATGGTAGAACCTCTGGATACCCCTTCTGACGGTGGCCGATCCTTCGGTTGATGGGTATAAACCCCCCATCAGGCTGGTAGTGTGCAGTCCGTTGTGTGGGACTGGATGGGTATGAACCCCCCATCAGGGTGGTAGTGTGCAGTCCGTTGGTTACTCCACTTGGGGACCGGATGGGTATGAACCCCCCATCAGGGTGCTAGTGTACAGTCCGTTGGTTACTCCACTTGGGGACCGGATGGGTATGAACCCCCCATCAGGGTGGTAGTGTACAGTCCGTTGCCCCCATCAGGGTGGTAGCTGCAGCTTCACTGGGGATCCAGGTGCAATCGTGTGCGTAGGTTGATAGGTATAAACCCCCTATCAGGCTGGTACAGTCCTCAGTGTAGGACTGGTGGTGGTGGCGGCTTACAGTTCAGGTGGCCCATGCGCCGTCCAGGCGCTCTCGCATGTGTGGGTTGATAGGTATGAACCCCCTATCAGGCTGGTATAGTCCACTGCGTAGGACTGGTGGTAGCGGCGGCTTACTGCTCGGGTAGCTCATGCGCCGACTCCTGGAGTGTCTTTTGTTTGGTAGGTGAGTTTGGACTTCTGATGGTCGTCCAGGTTGCGTTGGGGACTCTTGTGTTTCATCCAGCTTCGTTGGTCGCTGGGGATTCTTTGTTTTTGACTCTTTTGGTAGTTGCCTGACCCTTGCTGATCGGTCGGGTGGGTCTTGTTTATTTGATCGACTTCTGTTTGGTAGTCGAAGTTTGGTGTGTTGGTTTGTCTTAATCCAGCCTTTTTCTCGCGGTTTTATCTCTTTTTTCTCGCGAATTTGGATTTTGGCTTTTTATTTGAGTGTGTGCCTTTTTCTTTTTTTAAGCTCTTTTTTTCAACGCTGGCTTTTTCAAAAGGGTGGCAAATGAGATATATGGAAATAAAATTTTTATTTATGAAAATTTTATTACAACTATTCTGGGCACAGATTTCTAAGGGCTATGCTCTGGAGACGACCCGGGGAAGTGCTGGTAGAAGTGATATCGGAGGTCCGCCTGCTCTCGGGCCTCCTCGCGGTACTCATGCTGGAATGTCGTCCATTCTTGCCGCATCACTTGCAGGTGTTGGTGCATCTCTTCCTGCCGGGCGTCGAAGGCGTCCTGCCTTTGAGTCATCTGTCCTTGCCACACCGATAGCTGGGAAAGCTGCTGGCCTAAATCGCTCATGTGGCGATGCATGCCCGCGTAGTCGTCGGTGTATGGCGATGGTTGTTGTTGTTGTTGCTGCTGCTGCTGCTGGGACTCGGGAGGTGTGGGCATATCCTGCATCGGCACAATCCCTTGAAGGTCCAGTGCGAAGTCCAATGTGGGATGTAGGGCCAACTGGGTTCCCCGGCGAATCAGCATCCCCATGCTGACTAGGACCGAACCGTTGATGGGTTCGGGTCTCAGATTGGAGGCCAGTTCCTCCCTGCCGGGGCACCCCCATCTCTCTGCCAGAGGGGTGATTAGGGGAGCCATGAGGATGGCCCCTGCGGATCTGTGCCCGAAGTCCTTGAGGGCTCTCAGGAAGAAGTACCCGGGGTTGCAGCGCCGCCTCTGGCTCATGCAGTAGAGCACAAAGAGGTCAGAGAGGGACACCTTTCCCTGACTCTCCTTCCTCCCGTGGATGGTGCCTGCCAGCAGCTTGTGGCAGATGCGAAGTTCTGGGGGCAGCGCGGAGCCCCTCATCAGCGTTGGCAGCGTGGTGGCCCCCGTGAGATCCCGCCACATCTCGGAGGCAGTAAGGTTGGTGGGCCGTGAGCAGATAGCCTCACGGTAGCTCTGGGTGATGGTGTCCTCGGGCTTGACAAACCCGATGGCCATGTTGAATTCATCAAGGGTGGTCGTGTGATAGGTACCACCCATGAAATAAGTCACCATCCTGGTGGGTTGCAGGCCCGGGACGGTGGAAGGGACCTCGGAATAGGAGACGGAGGCCAAAAACTCGAGTACTGCCTGGGGGTACACGTGTACAGGTGGGGGTTGTAGCAGGAAGCCCCACCCGATGTTGTCAATGCGGGCTCGGACCTCGTCTTCCCATCCGAACTCTGCCAGGATGTTGAAGTCCAGCATGAACATGGGGTGCCATTGATAATTCTGGATATTATCCAGACGGGCTTGGTGTTGTGGCGTCAGCTGGGATGGATCCTGGGATGGTGGTGCCGCCGAACTACTTGCACCGGCGGTGTTTCTTCTCTTCCTGGGTGTGCTTCTGCTAAACATTCTGGCCCGGATGTGCTTAGGAGGTAAGAGATCAGAGAAATTGGAGTTCTGGAGGCAAGGGGGGTTGTGAGAAACCCCCTAGGCGCGCCTCCCTTATATAGCCAAAAAACCAACTTCGAGACCGCCGTCTGGACAGGCGGGACGGCGGTCTGGGTTTGCTTCCGGAGGGAGACGATGGTCTGGGACGGCGAGACCGCCGTCTAGGTTTTGTTGCACACTGGGACGGCGTTCTGGAGCCTCCAGACGGCGTTCTGGGTTTTTGGGTGCACTGAGACGGCGTTCTGGATGGCCCAGACGCCGTTCCCGAATTTCAGATGATTTTTTTTTTTTTTTTTTGAAGCAACAGAAAATAGGACCTGGTTCAAAAACTTTTTATGCATGCAATGTTTTTGTGTTTGATGTCCTATAATGCCTACTCTTGGTTAAATTTTAAGAAGGATTAACCGACGTGTCTTGCTGCGCCGAATGCCCTCCTGTTCGTGTTTTTTGTGTTTGTTGTACCTTGCCGGCTCTTGCTGTGACCGAAGTACTATTTGTTCTTTCTTTTTCTTCTTTCTCTCTTTCTTTTTTTTTCTTTTGGTAGAGCACCCTTTGTCATGTAGTACCCCTTTCTCCTCGTCTTAGGGATTTCAATCCTCTTGTTGACTATACGCCTCCACATTCCCAAATTAATTAGTAGAATTTTTGGTGCGAGGGTCAAGAGAAAAGAAGTAAAGAGGTAAATTCAACGGCTTGTGTTTTAGAATGATTTTTTTTATTGGAAAGCGGTTTTTGTAAGAAAGGCTGGTTAGGGTTAGGTTTAAGTGTTTAAGCTTTTGTCTAAGCAAACATTTTTCCCTTCCTTTTGTATTTGAGCCTTTTGGTTTTATTTCTATCGCTTTTCACGACTAGTTGGTTTCCCTAGATCGCCCCTTGGGTTTTCGAACTAGGATACTGTGTTTTGGCCCTAACTTTTGTCTAGGTTCCTTCTTTTGGTATTTTTTAGGGAATCCTAGCGGACCTTATTTGTGACCCTAACTTTTGCCTAGGCTACCCTTTATTGTTGTTCGGGTGTCCTACCGGGTCGACCCTAATTTTTGTGTAGCCCCCTTTTGTGGGTTTCCTACCGGGTAATTTTCCCTTTTCTTTGGCCTTTGGCTTCTCTGGGCTTTTTCTTCTTTTTTTTTTTTTTGTTCTTTTTTTTAGATTTGTTTTTTTTTTTTACAGTATTTGCGAAGCATGACTTTCTTATGGATGAGGTGAAGTCTTATTTTTATAAGCTTCTAATCAACTAGCTTGATGGCAATAGCGATGGTAACTGTTGGTTATTTGAATGCGCTTTTTATTCTTCTTCTTTTTTTGTTTACTTAGACAAGGTTATTTTACGTGGTCTAGTCAAAAGTAGAGAGAAAAGAAGCAGATAGTAAGAATAATTCTTTATTAATTAATAAGGGAATGTGTGCCCTAAGATGCCCGAGGGTCGGGCTCGCCCCGGGGGATAGTCTCTAACAATCATGGGGTTTATATCCCTTAAACGAAGAAAAAGACTTCCTAATGACTAAGGTGGCTCTTGACGCTTGCGTCCCTCCACTTCGGAAAATCTGCTTGAGTGTGCGGAGGGAGGACTTCCCTTTCCTTCTTTCCGCTCGTCCCTTAGTAGGGTCGTATCCTAGGCCATGCTTGCAAGGATTGTCTTTGAATTCTGGAGGTTCCCTCATGCCTTGGGAATCTGCCCCCAGTCCTTGGCCAGGATGGTAACCATGCTTCATCATCATGCGGGCTACCTTTGTGTTTCTGGGAAGTCGCTCTATATTGGCAATTTCGAGCGCTTGAAAAGATGTTTCAAGGGCCTCTTCAGCCGCATCCACATAGGGCTGAGTGGACGGTCCACTGATCAGGATGTCATCTTCTGCCTGAACGGTGACCAACTTGTTGTCCACTATGAACTTGACTTTTTGGTGGAGTGTTGAAGGTACTGCCTTAGCGTCATGAATCCAAGGCCTGCCGAGGAGACAGCTATATGCTGGAGTAATATCCATGACATGGAAATCGACGTTGAAGGTAGTGGGTCCAACCTGGATCGGCAAATTAACTTCTCCCACTACTTCTCGTTTGGATCCATCGAAGGCTCGAACGATTGTGTTGCTTGGGCGCAGGCGGGTTCCTTGAATAGTTAACTTATCCAATGTGCACTTGGGCATCACGTTCAAGGACGACCCGTTATCCACAAGAACTTTGGCGATAAGGTACTCCTTGCATTTAACCGAGATATGCAAGGGCTTGTTGTGATTTGCCCCCTCGAGGGGAAGTTCTTCTGCCGTGAAGGTGAGGTGATCGTCCGCCGTGATGTGACCAATGATCCTCTCAACCTTTTCTTGGGTTATGGTATGAGGTACATGCGCCTCGCTCAAGACCTTCAGCAGGGCGTTTCGGTGCGGTTCCGAGCTCATTATCAGAGATAACAATGTTATCTTTGCAGGTGTGCGATTGAGCTGGTCTATAATGGAATACTCACTCTGCCTTATAAATTGGAGTAATTCCTCTGTCTCCTCCTTGGATTCCTTATTTTCTTTATCTTCTTCGGTCTTTTCTTTATTTTTTCCTTTATTTTGAAGGACATTTTCCTGTGTGTCCTTGGGGGAGTAGATTCTTCCGCTTCTAGTCGTGCCCCCAATATCGGCTATATTCGTTATTTCTTCTTTTATTGGTGAAGATTCCCCATATCTCCACGGTACAGCTTTATTTGATTCATAGGGAAAAGGACGTGGCATAAAAAGTCGCACTGGTGTCCTTACCCCTTCTTCTATACTCTTGAGGACCAACGGCCGAGGCTTATTTTCCTCTTGCTGCGAGTCGGCCGTTGGGGTAATCTTTATTAGGAGCGGCTTTCTCTCCATTCTTCTGATTTGGAAGACACGTTAGTTAACCCTTCCTTTTTATTATCTTATTTATTAGGCGTGCAGGAGGGGAAATTTTAAATATGCAAATGAATGCTTATGTATGCAAGTAGACAACTATTTAAAAAGAAAATTTTATTTATTTCAACAAGAAGGTATACATTCCCCTATTCTATACTGCGAAGCAGCTTTTGACAAAAGCGGAAAACTTTGAAGAAACCCACAGGTGGTTCTTGATTCTTCTGTAGTTCCCTCTCAGCTTCCCGGACGTGAAAAGAAAGCGCTTCGCTTTGTTTGCGGACCGCCTGGCTCATATCTTCGCTATACTTTTGAGCCTCCTTGATCTTCGCCTCTTGATGGATAACCAAGGCTTGCAGTTCATCGAGCTTTTCGGTGACTCGGTTCTTTTCTTGTAATAGCTCGTCATACTGAGCTAGCCCGTGCCTTTCTTTGGAGCGTAGGTCTAGGAGAGTTCTGTTGAGTTTGCGGTTGGCCTCTCTCTCCTGACGGATGTCTAACCGAGTTTTGTGGAGCTCTTGCGACAAGTCCTCGACCATCTTGGCCTGCTTTGCAGATTCGGCCTCAAGGTATGCTGCTCTGGTGGCGATTTCCTGGAGCTGGCTATCCGAGCTGGTTCTGGCAGCTTTGGATGCTCGGATAGCTTGTTCAGTAGAATCGGCACATTGGTCCTTGAGGCGCTCTATTTCATGATCCTTTTTCTTGCCCTGCCTCTTCAGGCCGTCTATCGTGAGGATAGATTCTTGTTCCTTTTCTTCAAGGGCTCTCATCTGGGCTCCCATAATCTCTATCCTCTTGGTCAGGGCGTCGATTTGAGCCTGCAGCCCTTCATTGTTGGCGCTCGTAGTAGGTGTGGGGGATGGTTGAGCCATCCCTCTTCTTCTCCTTTCCGTCTCGTAGTCACTGGTGGTAGCCACCCGTGCTTTTCCAAGCTCTCTGTCTCCCACGTAGACTGGCTTCTCCCATGCTTTTCTCACAGCAGGGGAGTTGGTGATGGCGCATGGATCTCCAAAGAAGCACAGCCCTCCGAGTTCCCCTTTGGAAATAGGAGTTTGGGTCCTCATGAGTTGTCTCATAGCTACCCTGGGTGAGTAGGCTATGCAACCCCTGAGCCCTATCAAGGGTACGTTCGGGTAATCTCCACATCGAATGAGTACTGGGCCAGGCCGGAACCACGGGCAGACCCAAGTTACGCTGTTGGCGTCTTTCCGTTCCAGCTCGTCCCTCCACTCTGAAGTTAGGCGGCGTTGGAGGGGGATCTTGGAGAAGCTTCTCAAAGGATTGGGGAATATCCCCATGTGGCTAGAGGCGTAGAGGTGCGTGATGCTCCACACAAAAAGCAATGAAGAGCAGCAGCGAAGTGTTTTTCCTTGCTTCCGGTGGCAGAATTCTACCGAAAGCAAGGTATCAGCAAGGATCGCAGGCAAGGGACTCTTCGAGTGCACGTCCCAGGCGAAGAAGGCGTCCATAACGGCCTGATCTATACTGTCGAGGTGAAAAGGGAACAATATGGTTCTGAAGATGATGAGTGCCAGGGTTTTGTTGAAGGCAGTCCACTTTGCCCGTTCTTCCAGATAGGACAGGTGGTCTTCTAGCATAGAAACTTTCCAACCCTGGTTGCTCCCTTTTCGGATCAGGGTGTTCTGCCAGGCTGGCAATTGAATGAGGGCGGCGACAGGTGCCACAGGAGTGTATGCCACGTGGCGAACATGGACTCCAGCTGATTTGGGACATCTTAACATTATCTCATACTCCTCTAGAGTGGGCACCATGTCAAACTGCGGGAATTCAAAACATCGCAGATTCGAGTTCCAGAAAAATATTAACGCCCTTAGAAACACCTGATCGACACTAATTCTTAGCAGGTCCAAAATCCGTCTATAGGATTTCTCGAAGTCGGCGCGGACTTCGGACGGCATTGCAACACTAAGCCGTTCCAACCTCTCAGTATTGAAACGGGGAATGTCTACCTTCTTGGGCTGTCTGCTAGTGCCCTCCATTTTTCTAGAACAAAAATGCATGTTGTGAAGATGATGCTTATTTTGGATGAATGAAAGTGTTTATTTTTCTAATTATCATGTTTTCTTACATGATGTATGGTATTTGCTTATTATTTATTTGAAGAAATAAACTATCTATATGAATGTTTTCATGAATGTAATATTTTGAACCAGGTCTTATTCATGATTTTTGAAATCAAATTTATGATTTAGTTTGATTTTTATTGGTTTTTATTTTATAGCCTTTTATCTCTTCTGTCGGAACTGCGTGGCTACTTAGCTTACAAAGAACCTGAAACCAGGCTAGCTAAAAGGCAGACTGTCCGAGATAAAATATGGCTTTATGCGAAAAAACAATTGTTTAACGTCCCTTATCTC